GTTATTTTTTTGGAGGAGATTCCCCTTCTAAGCATTAAGGTTCGTATATCTCCACTTTTCTGCCACCAACCACAACAAACGAAGGTATGTTCAGTGCTATTTTATTAAACAAAGTTTACATGTTTGTTGCTGTAATGATAGCTACTACATTTACCTACATTTTCATCAAAGAAAATTACTGTATATTAAAAATAAAATGACAAAAATTTCGGAGACTAGAACAGATTAATTGCATTTGCATTAATTTCTATGGGAAAAATTGCTTTGGTTAACGAACAATTCAGTTAACGAACGGAGTCGCGGAATGGATTAAGTTCGTTAACCGGGGTTCCACTGTACAATTTTTTTAGAAAAATAAACATGCAGTGACAATAAGTTACATATAGATCTACTGGATACATATGTTAGCATGTCATTACACATAAAGTAGTGAGGTATACAATATTTCATTATTAAGTATACAAAATTGAAACAGGACTTTCTGGATACTTTATACAGTTATGAATATAACATGGAAACAAAAAGCAATATTTACTAAATAAGTATACAAAATATTTTACTATTTAAACTTGTGTTAGGTGCAGTTCCACCTCATCCAAATGCATGAGGTAATTCAACTGGGTAATTCAAATTTTAATTTAAAAATTTATGAAATCTATAATTAAAAAAAAAAAAAACAAATGAAAGATTGACTTTATTCTTGAATCATTTAATTTCTTTTAGAATTAACTGATTCAAGAATAAAGTAGGAATTTAGGATTTAGTTCATTTCTGGATTATAAATCTCCCAAAGAAGTTCGATAAGACCGAAACTATCGAGAAAAGCTTTTACTATACAATAAGGGTAGTCATACAATAAAGGTTATTAATAGTGCAGTTAACCATAGTAATAAAAATCAGCTTTACTTGTAAAATTAATTTTACAATTTCACTTTGATTTAAACTAGAAGATAAAGTTGCTAAAGTAAATACACAAACTAGAATTTACAAAAAGCACACAATATGCAAAAATATTTTATTGTAGTTTAAAATGATTTATAAAATATAAAACAAAAAGAATGACAATTTCCTAGTTACTTATTTGAAAAAATTTAAATCACATCTAGCAAAGGATTACTTTTTTTAATGACTTAAATAGACCAAACTTTAAACAACACATTTTTTCTTCTTTATAAACCTCAAAAGAATTATATTTATAACATTTCCAGACTAAGTGCATAATCAAACTTATTGGTTTTGCAATATGCAAAAGTGAAATAATTTTAAAACATTCTACAAATTTATCCTAGTTACATTAACCAAATTTGGATAAAGTTTTAAACACAAAATTCAAAATTGAATTTTAAAATATGATTATTATATTAATAACATATTGAAAGTTAATATTTGTTAAAAGAATAATCAAATTGATTTAATGTTTTCCAACTACAGGTTTGAAAATTAGTTTGATTTAAGCATTTTAATAAATCATACCAAATAATAATTTTGTCAGCAATATCTTACAAAATCAATAAACTAAAAAGGTGAAAAATAAAACAAATTTACAAATAAACAAGAACAAAATTATTATAAAAGTTGCTTCTAGCCCTTAGTATAATTATATTAATTAAATCATCAACAATCCTGAAGCAGATAATTGGCAAGTGCGAAATCTGACAGAAGGCGCTGTTTTTGAGCCAAGATGGCTGCCGAAACAGGTAAGGAACTGACCATGTGTTTGTTTAGTGCCTGAATCAAAGTGACAATGTTTAATAAATACAAAAATGACTATATAAGTATGGAAATGAAAAAAAACCCAAAATGTATTTTGGTTTCTTTTAGTTGGTATTAACTAAAAGGTATATTAAAATTATACAAGGTAAAGGTAAACTTTATATTGTATAGCTTTAGGCATAGTTTTAAGTTTATCTTGTACAATTTTAACCCATTGGTAAACGTGTCCGCGACAAATTGCCGCAAAATATAGATAAAGTCTTTTGTTTGACGACGTACTTAATTATTGCAGAAGTACGTCATAGTATTGTCTCTTCATATTACAAGATACAACATGTTTATGAAATTGGGTCAGTTATACTAACCATTTAGTTGTTACTGGACTTTGAATGAAGTCTTACCTCATTTGTGTTGTAACTGCCGCTACACGCCCTGCCATGTAACTAAAATATCAGTATACTTTTATACACACACAAATCTTNAATATGGAAGTGGCAGAATGGCAGATGATACACCACCACCTAAAAGACAACGGCAAATAATGTTCAGATAAAATAATACTACATATTAATAATTACTTTCTAAAATATAATTATTCATATTTATAGCATTAACTCATTAGAGAAAGCCCAAATTCGGCTAATAGAGGAAGGCATAAAAACAGAGAAAATGAAACAAGATACACAAAGAAAATAACATGAAGCGGAACAACTTAACGTAGAGTTATTACAGTTAAAAAAGTTGAAACTTCTGCAAGAACTAAAATTATCAGAAAATAAATAAATGTATTTATTATAAATATTAAAAAGGCCCTTTTCAGGGCCAACAACTCTAGTTAAGAGTGGTCAAATCTTATTAATAAACAATTACATAATAGAAAAATATCAAACAAAAGACTGGTTACATGACTGGTTCCGCAGTAAGCAGAGCCAGTTTACAGATGTTTTTGGTATTGCAAATGTTATAGTTACATTTACAAAGAGTAATATGCATTATAGCATAAAGTATTACAATGAGAGATTGGTATATATGTTATAAGTTTACAATTAGGAGATAAAGATTAAGTATACATGTGCTGTTTCATATAGAAAAGAATTGTTATATTATGCAAGACAAATTTTCCGCGTGTTGAGAAAAGCACGACAGTGTGTATGAAAGTTATACAATAATTAATGGGTATTATGTAACCAAATATGATAACTACATTGAAAAGATTAAGGCTGTCAGGAACTAAATGTTTACACTCAGAGTTCGAAACATTCATCCTGCATCGTGAACAGTCCTTGCTCTAGCAATTTCTATACTGGAAGATTTCTTCGCAAATTCCTAGAAATTTAAACAGTTAATTCATGTAGCATCATGCTAAAAGTCTGAGTGATGCTTAGAAGAAACCCCTAAACATTCAATTTACATTTAAGTTACAGTTGTAACCTTTCAATTTGAATCCATAGAATATCCTTGTTGCATATGCTCTTGAAAGTAGGTTCATAGAACAATATTTTAGAAGCACAAAAGAGAAGAATTCACCATATAATACTTTATCTCTCTTTAATACACTAAAATTCTTGCAAAGATTCAGTACTGTTACAGACCACTATAAAAACATTCTCCCACTTTTATATACAGTCGACCCCATTATAACACTGTTGATTTTTCCGTTTTATATGAATTCCATTTTGTATGAGTCAGTTAGATTTTACAAATATGTGTGCCGGGCTGTGAGCGGCTCACATATTTGTAAAATCCAAGTGACTCATGCATGGAATTCATATAAAACAAAATAATCAATAGTGTTATAGGGGGGTTGACTGTATATGTGTTTAAATTTTTTTAATAAAGTAAGTCAATATTTGCATGTTTATTAAATAAATATATTAAATTAACACTGTCGTAAGTTTCTATAAATTTTTAAATTTATATTAGTCTATATTTTTGAAAAATATAAGGGAAACAAAGAGCCATTCAAAGTAGCGGCAAGAACCTAGAATTTGTTTTATTTGTGCAATACAAAAAAACAATAGGAAAAAATCAATTTGTCAAGAATGGGTAGAAATGTTTGAAATTAGCATCGGAATATAGTGATTATATGTGCCACGTGTGAAGGTGAACATCAACGAATATAAAGTAACTTTTATTGTCTAAGTATTTTATAACCAATTTGTTAATAAAAATGTCGTGAAATTAATTTTCTGGTATATCCGATTCATATTTTCAAAACAATAATTAATTATTGACTCAAATCAAGTAATATTACATATGCGGTGTAATTGCCGCAACGAGCCCTCTCGCGAGCTCCCGAAAAGCGCGTTCACCAAAGGGTTAACATACCATTACCTTTAGTTAATACCAACCGATAAGGACTATTAGAAAATAATCCAAAACACATTTTGGGTTTTTTTTTTTTTGTTTCCATACTTATGTAGTCATTTTTGTATGTATTAAACATTTTCACTTTGATTCCTGAGTGTTTGTACCCATCATTGCTCTGATAAACCCTCACTATTATCTGCCTCACGATTGTTGATAATTTAATTAATATAAACACGGGCAGTTCACATTTCACATTCCTAACATTACACTAAGATTAACTATGAAAAGTATGCGCACATCCTGATAGACCATATCAATATATTTCATTTCAGAAAATCACTTACCACTTAATTTAAGAATCATTTTGTTTCATGCCAATTGTATGTGTCCTGAGATATGTACTGTACATAGATAAAACATTGATATTTTCTTGAGCTTTTAGTGAAGAAACAAAACCATTTACATTAAACACGAGTATTATGTAAAGTGGTATTTACCAATGTTTCGTTAAGCTTCTATTTCCTGTAATTTACAGAAAATACGACCAAAACCAGAACTTACTTCCTGGTATTTTGCAACGATTCTCCATACTTACCATATTTTATTATAATTATGGATAAATCAATGACGTCATTCTCACGTAATTCCCAAAAAGTAATTCAGTATCAACGTCGATTACAGTTTCGCAATATGTTTTACGACGTAAGAAAATTTGAAAAATGGCGTCACGCGTAATGACGCCATATTGGAACGATTATTTAATATCCAACTTCGTCATATTTAGAACGGACAGAACAGATTAAAATCACGAAAAAGATGGAAAATTTCAAATCTTTTCTTAGAATAAATGGCACAATTCAAGGAATAAATGTTTAAAAAATTGAATAAAACAAAAAAAAATCTAACAGCGACATAATGTAATTTTGGACGCCTAAATACTAAAATGGACAACGGATAAAACTTACACGGATACTCACGCTTAAACCGAAGTGTTTTCTTTGATTTAGAATGTCAGAATCGAAACAAGAACCGAAATCAAATGGTAGTAAGTCGACATAATGAGGTTACACTTCCCTACGTCACTTCCTTCTAGTTGTTCGCTTCTTTTTTGACGTGTACGGTTGACGTTGCCAGATTACAAACGGAAGACGTTTATTTCTTTTCGTAGATATATCGGAGTTATTAACTTTAAATTTAAAAAAAATCTTCTCTATAACATTGAAATTATTATTATTATTATTTTATTTCTGTTCTAGGGATTTAAATTTGAAATACTTTTTATATATTTATGGACATTTCGGAACGTAGATTGACTTTTAGGCACGGCTCAATACATGGCCGGCCTATATTTTGCATAATATAAGTAGGCCGGTTAATTATGAAACCAGCCTATATTTGTGGATTGGTGTATAAATCGCCGATATCAAAATCTTCCCTTGGTGGCCTAAGTATGAAAACGCTTGTTTATTTTGTGCGAGAGATGTCAATGGCAAAATGTTAGTAGGAAGGAACGTAACGGCCTCTACCAATTCCTATGACAATAATTTTAAAAAATGATATTGGAGAAAACCCAATGTTGACGTTGGTGCAACTTGATAAACATTGATATTGGCACTTCTTGTAGCAAGCTACAGATATAGACGGCCGGATGGTCGAGCGGTTAAGCCGTCAGTTTGCCGCTCTGAGGTACAGGGAAAGAATCTAGGCTGGTCGAGAAACTGGAAATTTTCAGTCCAGTCTCTCACCACCCCGGCCGTCTCTTTGAGGATCTGGCTAAATCCACGATGGATTTGATTAAAAGGCTTTTTTTACTGTCCACAAGGCGAAAATAATAAAAATGGCTACAGGTATACATACCTGCCGACTGTTCTGTGAGTACTTAGAGGATATTTTTAGAATCCCTCATAACCAGTCCGTCAGATCCTGCCAAAATGTTCATGAAATTTCTATGGATCGGACTAGAACTAGAAGATAGAAACCAGAATTGCAGGCACACATCTTAACCGCTTTCAGCTGTCCGTTTGATGGCATACGATAACGCAATACGTGGCTGATCTACCAAGGGAGTGTCTCTCAATAGGACTTTCTCTGGGAAACAGATCCTTATTTACGTGTTAGACACGCGAAGAAAACTCGATGTCCAGCCCGTCGTTGAAGCGCGAATCCTCGAACAACTACCATTTTAGTAGTTTTATATCCTCGGCCACTTGCGAATTACTCGGTTGTCCGGCCTTCCTAAAGTCGGTCTGTATGGATATTTTATCCAGATTCTCAAATTATCCTTGAAAAAGTATAAATCCAAATCCGATTCTAATCCGGATCTTTCTCTGAAGGTCGACAATTTCAAAACGTAAATCCAAATGAAGTCTTTTGAAATACTAGTAATTACACAATTCTAATTTTAATTTTCGTATAATCAAATTGATGTTTTATAAAGCGAATTGTTACTTGTTTAGTAGTTAGGTGTTTAAAATTTATATTAAACTGGGTTATTGAAATGACAAGAAAATTTTTATCTATTTTATTAATAAATATTGTAAAGCAGGAAACGTAAAAAAGTACGTTATTGGTCTAAAAATATATGAAAATAGTAAAAACTAAAGCAAAATGGTAGCATTTGTTTTATGCCGGAGTAAATCGAATCGGCTTAAATGAGATTTAAATTAATTATGATGTTTTTTAACGGGATGCATTTAAGATTTACTTATATTAAACAAACGTTACTACATGAATTTTATTCGCATTTATTTTATAATAAATTATAAACACATTTGAATGCAATTACTGGACTGGATATGTCGTACATTTATGTACATTTTCCCCCCCTGCAGTTTCCATTGTCTTTTTAATTTTAGCACCAATCTTCATTATTGCTTTACGGTGGAAGGATCATTTTTAAATTCCCGTAGGCAATGAAACGTAATTGCTCATTTCCAATTTTTTAATCACGTTCTTTTTTTAACATAGTAGAGCGTCAACTATCCGAAATAATCGAGATTGGATACTTTCGGATAACCGATCACACTCTGTGGGAAAGAATAAAAATATAAATATCTTAAATAAAGTAAAAACATTCATTTTAATTCTAGTATAAAGTGAAAACACAGATTAAAATATAAAAATTCATAGGTAGGTAGTCAAAAAGCACTTAAAATTGTAGCCATTATATTTGAATGATCCACCGATGTGGCCATTTTCGTGATATCGAAGTCCTCAATCGTACGCTTTTTGCGGCTATTCTAGCGGCGGATAATTGTTTTCAAATGCTTTGGAGCTTAAAAGCAGGTTTGCGGGCCGGATCATAAGTAAATTAACGTGTGTCGGGGACTTTTCTATTTTTTTATTTGTGGTTTTAGGCCTTTCACCGCTCAGAGAGCGCAAAAAGGACAAATGTGCGCATTGACGAATGCATCTGTCCTAAGGCAAGTCTACCCGTTCAAAGAATTAATCATTATTAGTAGCGAGAAAAGTAAAATTCTTACCCCTTGATGCCTCCTACTCCTATGTGATTACCTGCCCTTACCATACAGGCCTACACCATACTTAAAAGTATTTATTTTATTAGTTAAAATTATATGTTAACGTTGTCAACTTATAATTTTAAATAATAAAATAGTCGAGTTAACTTTGGCACAAAGTTAGGACAAAAACTTATATACTTTACATAATGTAATAAAACTTAAATTATCATCAGAGAGTATAGATTGATGTCCTAATAATGTTTTTACATTCACATGAAATGAGTGAATGGTTTTTAATGTTTTTCACCATCAAACCGCAAAAAGAATATTTACCATTTTTCATAATGTTTAATCTTTTACCATCTAAGAACTTAGCATATTTACTTAAACGAAGTTGAAGTCTCCAGAGTTTTAATCTTATATTTTAAAATTTAGACAACTTTTAGACGGGTAATTTTATACAAGTTTCAATAATAATACTCCTATTACAAGTACAAGGTATAGATCATCAGTAGAAAGAAGTATACAACTAGTAATTAATCATATTTTTAATTTATTTGACTTAATATGCTCTCCACCTCAAATTAGTAGTGGCTTGTCCCTGTACATCATACTTTTCCATTAACAATAGAGTCGTGTTGGTTATCTATCTAACACTATTCAGAGGAAATTTTTGAATTGAAATAACGTGATTTTTTGTGAAAACTAGAATTTCGTATATACAGGTAACCCCGTATAACACGGCATTTCTATAGCACGGATTCACTTTAACACGGTTCGAGAATTGGGAGCATCCCCCGTGTAGCACGGTGTTTTTATAGCACGGGTTCACTCTAACACGGTTCGGAAATTGGGTAAAACCCTCGTACAACATAAAATGTAATGAAGGGTGCGTTCTTCTATACCTCCGCGCGAGCATTCTAATTGTTTTCGTGGCTACTTTGAATGTTCTTTCAATAAATAATCCATTTAGTGGTTAAATTATACAATTGGCACCCTTCTTTTGCCTCTAAAAGCTCATTTTAGAATTATAGATTCCTCCACACGATACTATCGATAGTGCGGGCACCGCCATTTTTCTTTCACCGTCGCTCCTAAATGCCTACAAACCGCAGCGCACTCCCGTTGCAGAGCGACCGCTATTAACGAACGCACCCACAAACTGTTACCAGTTGATGATGCTCGTGCTGAGATCATATAAAATGAATAATCCTCCGTAAAATATTTACTTAATTAAATAATAAATATTTTACCTATGAAAAAAAATGAATAATAAATCCGATTTAAATAAGGATTTAACAACATGTTTTTTAATTTGTGGAACCTAACCCCCCTTTTCGCACTAGTTCTTTGTTCCGTATAACATGGATTCGCATAACACGGCAATTTTTTGGAACGTAACTCCCGTGTTATACGGGAATTACCTGTAGTTAATCGGGACCTCCTATCCTTAAGATTTCCATATCTGGTCTCGTCTTTCTTATTTAATTCCGTTTAAGATTAAGGAAAGACAGACAAACGGACGGACGGACATTTATAGGTCTAGGATTTTTTTCAAATTCAGCCCAACTAACAATTAGTTACTAGTTCTACACTTCTTTCACGTGGACTTATTCACTAACTCTATCTGGGATTACTGTAGTATTATAATTAATAGTAGTAATAATAATAATAATAATATAATAATTTAATTAAAATTGTACTTACTAATGCTTAATATATATTTTACTTAATTAATTAAGTAAGCGTAGAACTTATTTTCAACAAATTTATTCCAATATACTGTACTTAGATTACAAATATTTTAATGTTTTAATACAATATTGTAATAAATTAGAATAGTCTAATAAATGTCGACTTAACTTCTACAAATATCAGATATATATATATATTTTTATGAATTATAAATCATTGATTAAAAATTTAATCTTATCAAACTAATGTAATCATTTCTGCGAAAAAGTTGGGCTGTTTAATTTGAGCAATAGTGAGAAAGATTATAACATTACTCAATAAGTTAGACAGATGAAAGAAAGATAAGACCAGATACGAAAACCTTAGGGGCAGAAGACCCTGATTAAATTAACTATAAACAGACTTCTAATGCAAACAAGAAGTATGTTATTTGAATTCAAAAAAATTTTCCCGAAAGGTGTTAGATAACCGCCATGACTCTGTTATTAAAGGAAAAGTATGATGTACAGGGCAAGCCGCTACTAGTTTGAGACGGAGAACATATATTTTAAGTTAAATAAATTTTAAAATACGATTAAAAACTATAACTATGGAACTCAGGAGAGAATACAGGTTGGTATAATATATTTATCTGTATGTTTTTTTTTAATTAATTTTTCTAAATAAGAAGTAAACGAAGTGTAGATATATTTGGTCATGTAGTTTAATAAGTATGTGTTATGTTTTCTATATTTGACAGTAATTGGTCTAATACTATATAAATAAAAGATAATTGTAGGAAATTTATCAAACAAATAATTTAATGAAGAAAAATAATTACAGATTTACTAACGTTTCATGGGTTAATGAAACATTTGAAATTTTAGGTTATTTAGAAACGTAACCCACAAAAAAGCCATGTTATTCCATAGTTATCGATAATGTAATAATTAGTAAATGAACTGTCGAAATTGATCTTATTACAGCTTCATGTTTC